ATCCGGAGCTAGCCCTTGCCAAGTTCCAATTACTAACTCCACCTCGAGTTAGCTTTGACATTAACCATCATTCTCAGCAGACACTGGAATGAATAAGTAGGTTTCGTTGCTAGTATACGGTTCTACTTGAGGTCGCAATTTGTATTGACACAAATTAATCAAAAAGCATCTAAAGACGAAACCAAATTGCACCGGGGAGAAGATGATCGAATGTTACAGTACTTTTTCCCAAGGCAACACTGTGGAAAACAGAAAGCGGCCAAGAAGCCTTTGCCAGATTGACAGATGACAGAGCTTGATATGTTGTAGAGGTAAATATAGGAATGTGGTTACTTTAAACGACGCATCGCCATCTGGTGGCTAATTAATGAGTTAAAATAGAATATTCGCCATAAATCCTTCTAAATGTTTCAAGAAAAAGACAAAAGGTGTTTGAAAAATACAGATATCTAAAAACTTTTTATTTTACATAGTCTAAAATAATAAGGTTGCATTGAAAAATATATGAATGCTAAAAGTAAATTGGATGTCTTCAATCGTGATTGGGTAAACAAGAAAATAAGTTTTACCTTAATGTTTAGTTGGGTGTTCAGAATTTCAATTTCTCATAGGTTCACTAATATTTCAACTTTTTAAAAAGCTGCATTTCAAAAATTATATCTCTTCTAGACGACATAAGAAAACGTCTTAATGATGTTGATTATGTCATGCCAGGATGTTCGTCATCACACTAAATTTATCTTGAAAGCATTTTTTAATGTCTCAGGTGTTCAGACATTATTAGCACATAAAACGGACGTCTTCAAGATTGTCTGTGCTATTTGGGTATGGCCTAAGCTGTAAGATTCATAATATAACTAGAAGGAAACACAGTGGTGCACACTGCTGATTTGTGTAGTAATAATCTGCGTTGATGATTCTCTTTCCTCTCCCATAGGTGGCGCTCACAGCCAGTAGGCGCGAAATGTGCTAGCGCCTACTTTTAGTACACCAGTTAACATTATACCTATTTTTAATGACGTTGTATCAATCTTTTTCCGTAATACCCCTGCCGTATTTGGAAATGCTGTCAGCAAGATTAACTGTTTTTTTTCGGTCAGTGATGAGCCCCAAAAAACTGATTAGTAGACAACTTATAGGATCTGGAAATTACTCTTGTTTTCAAAAAGTTGGAAAATCCTCAGCACAATATGTGGTTGATAATTTTATGAAAACAGAAGTTATTAGTTTATTCGAGCAGATAGGTTCTTTCAAGACAGTCTAAAGTTAATCATGTCTTCCATTGTAATTTGATGGGATGGAAGAAGGCATGGGAGCATAAAAAGTATACGTCTGCACTTTTTGACGCAATCGAACTAAAATCTATGTATCTATGACCTATCTGGAGAGGGCCCCAGAGGACAATGATCGAGACTCGGACGAGGAAGGAATTCTGAACAGAGTCCGAGAACTCCTCCGTCTACGCGGAGATGAAGGCGGTTGCGACAGTGAAGACTGTGGCGGCGACGGCCCCGAATAGGTGACACATACCGTCATTCGGGAAGGTGTAGGAGGGGCCTCTCAACACCTATGATATGTCGAAATTTCATTCAAATTAACTTACAGCACTGCATAGCGGCTTCGAGGGCCCTTACTCAGGAAATCTATCGAGGCCGACACGACGTGGCTCTCGACCGGGAACCCTGGTAGAGAAACGGTTCAGTAAACGGGCTCAGTGTACCGGGCTATACGCTTTTTAGCGATACTCAGGACTCAAAGCCTAGAGCTTGCGTAATAACTTCCATTAACACATGGCAACTTAAAGAATTTACCTTCCGAGACTTAGGCCCGAATCGTCAGTCGTCCCTACAATTGTAGGGCGCGTTTATGGCCTCCTTGATTGTCATAGTTTTCTACTTCTCCGTGTCAGCGCTCTATTTTGAGGTTATGTCACAAATATCTGTTTGCATCAAATTATGCTTGCTTTTGAGTTATATCATGTTTTATCAGCCTGAAATTTCCTACAATTTAAAAAGAAAACATATCTTTACAATAGGAGAGCGCTGACGCTGACACGGGACAAGTGTAATCTAGAAATTTTTGAAGGAGAGAAAGGAGTATGGCAATCACGGAGGCCATAAACGCGCCCTACAATTGTAGGGACGACTGACGATATGGGCCTTAGTTGCAGTTAGAATTAGATATAAGAAGGAAGGAGCTGACAGGGACCTGATCGTATGTTCGGCTTACCGTCATTACGATTCAAGGGAACCTCCTCCGTCTAAGGATCTGGGGAACTTTGTCGCATCCTGTAGGGATTCTATACTCGACCTCGTGATTGGATGGAACACCAACAGACGGGGCGAAGACCTCATCGAGTTCCTACAGGCATTGAACTTTGAGGTTCTGACTGACGGTAACACGCCTACTTTCAGTAATAGTGTCACAAAAGAGGTTATCGACGTAACGCTGGGCACGCTTAACTTAGCTCAGGATATTAGGGACTGGAAAGTGTCTCTAACACCCTCTCTATCGGATCACTTTTTAAGACTGATGGAGAGATTGCAGATAGATATTCTCGGCATACTAGATGGGGGTCCTATAGGGCAGACCTTGACAGTAAACTTTGGGGGTTCCATACAGACTTTTTAGGAGCTCTGATATAGAAGCAGCCGTCGAGTCTCTCAGCAGGGACTTGACTGCTTCGTATGAGGAAAACTGCCCGTTACGCTTAGTTCAAGCGCAGTGCGAACAACGCCATTGAGTGCAATGGAAGCTCTGCTGGATCTCCCACCGTTGGATCTAGTGATATGTGGTGAAGCGAGAGTAGTCGCTCATCGACTCTGGAGTCAGGGCAGCTGGGCCTTCTTGAATCCTGTCAAGGGACATACTGTCATCTTAGTCGAATTGCAAAGGGAGGACCCCGTCCTTCTAAGCAGGGGTGATCTTATTACCCCTAAATGTCGCTTCAACCGCAAGTAGTGCCTGTAAGATTACTTCGAGTCTTGTATTGCAAGGCAGGGAGGCTTTGGATTGCCTCGGAGCGAGGCACCCGGTATAATTAATGTGGGTACCTGGGCACGCTAGGGTAAGGTTAAATGAGACGGCGGACGCTCCGGCGAAGACAGGATCGGCCAGCAAGCTCGTTGGCCCTGGGCCAGCTTTAGGACTGCCCGCGCATAGTGTTGGAGGAAAATGGAGACGTGGATTGCAAGACAACACTCTCAGAAATGAAGAAGTATCTCTAGACATCTCCACCAGGCACGGGAACTCATTGAAGGGCCCAGTGCTAAGGATGGACGTTTCTGCTTATCTCTGGATTCAGCCATCCTAAGGTTGCTGGTGGAACTGTTGTCTGGCCATAACATAATAAGGCGCCACCTGCACGTGATGGGGGGGCTGTGGATCCCTTGTGTGAGCGCTGCGGGGTAGAGAAAGAGACCTCGGCGCACGTTCTGTGTCGCTGTGAAGCTCTGAGCTACTATAGGTAGACTATACTGGGGTCAATTACTTTGGACCCTCAGGACGTCAAGGAGCGTGGACTCAAGGCCATACTCGACTTCGCTAAAAAGGCGAGGCTTGTGATCTAAGGAAGGGCCTGGTTAAGCGGCATATGCACTGGCTCCTTATGGTGGTCGGAAAGCCTCTAATCTTACGATACATTAGGCGTATTTTTTATTCACCGGTTGAGCCACCGGTGCAACCAATTATCCAATTTTACTTCTTTTAATTTCCGTCTGAGCGACCGGTTGTACACCAAACTTGTCTATAAACTTGTCTATATAGTTTATAGACAATTTTGCTGTACAACCCGTCGCTCAGACGGAAATTAAAGGAAGTAAAACTAGATAATTCGTTGCACCGGTGGCTCAACCGGTGAATTAAAAAATACGCCTTTTCATTCATGTATCTGTTTTAAATACTGAGTGAGCCGATAATGCGAGGATTGTGAAGCTGGATACCCATTCTGAATTCGTTACCAGAAAGATGTTAAGCTGCACTCGTTATGTTTATTTTTTTGAGGATTCGTCAGACGCCACTTTCAAAAATTGTTCTTCTTCCACATTAGACAAAGCTGCGGTGGATTTTGTATTAATCTAAAATAGATATTTTATCCATTAAATATATTTGTTTTAGTTTAAGTCGTCTTGTCTGTCAGTTTCAGCATATTTGATTCAGCAGTACTGGCTACGCGCACTTCTTCCTAGCCCTTCCCGTACCCCTGGGGGTACGCATATCGCACTTTGGGAAACACTGTAGTACGGCATTGTAACCACACGGCAAAAACTTTTAAAAAGGTAAAAAAAAATCCGTAGAGACAAACCAATTTGAGGGCTAAAAAATCCATTAAAAAACACATCTGTTGCACGTTCTAGAGATTATCACCATCATAGCACAAAAATAACTGCTGGCTGGAAATTTTATGCCAACCAATTTTTTATTAGTATTTGATTGGAAATTATCGATTTCTGTATCGGAACAATACAGCACTTCCCGTTATTGCGATATAAAACTAATAAACTATTGGTGTATATGTAATTATTTGTAAAAACCCGATGCGGTACACAGAACAAACTCGCTTTGAATAAATATTGAAGAGAACAGTTTTCACAAAGTACACATTGCATTAGCGGACGTTCTATCGTGTTCACATAGTGGAAGTGGCAGATAAAAATAAAAACTGTTGGTTTTTGCAGTTAGTACAAAGGATTAAAGTAACTGGGACTGCAACAATAATAATTCTAGACCATTCGATAGACAGGAGAGAAGTTTGTTTGAAGCTTATAACTATTCAAAAAAAAAATCTCACGGAATAGAAACACGAAAACTTGAGTTAAGCCTTCACACTATGTAATGCATTGAGTGTAAAAATTTTGACGTGATGTATTGTTCTTTCACATATCACATTACATATTGGAGGCTGAAGCTAAAGTTTCCGAAAAGTCGAATTCTATATGAATCCTCATTTAGACACAGGCTGTAAATTTTATGCAAACTCAGGAAAATGACAAAAACAACAAAACTCAAAAATAAACTTTATTGATATGATACAGCAAAAATGCAACAAAATAGAATGAAATGGCAATAAAAAACGAAATGGGCTTAAGATCCACCTACAGACCTACACGTGCTGAATCGGTAAATAATTAGTAATTAACAGAATATTTCAAATAATTAATAATAGCCAACCGACAAGAAGCAGCAACTCTTGTTAAATGCAAATCGTATGAACAAAAATATAATAGCATAAACGGATTATGAAAAAAACAGCAAAATTAAACTTAAATCTTTATATATTGTCGAAGTCAACGTGTTCTAGCCAACCGTATGCTGCATTTCAACGTCCAACTTGGGATATGAAAGATACTCTAGCGCCATCTGTGAGACAGTAGCACACCACAAAAATGGATTTAGAAATCCACTTTGAAAAGAGTTGGAGCTCTTAAGGTCCTTTTTTGAGCGCCTGAAAAAATGGTTGGATTTTCGAAATAATTATAATATTTATAATTGGATATGCATATTTTCTTTGAATAAAAAATTGCTCTAGGTATATCAAGCAGTATAATTTCGACTACTACTAGAATCAAATACTATACTTCAACATTTGCTACAATAATTATGATTTATCTTCGTTGTTGTTTAATTTGGTAATATAAACACTATTTTTTGGCTATCTTCAGGAAAAATACGATTATTGATGGTATCAAGTTCCTCTGCCAGTAATTCATAACTGCAGTTTTATAAATCTCATTTTTAAGTCTATGAGCATAAATTACCTGTCCTTTTCTCAGCATCTCTGAAAGTGACTCCTTCCAGCGTGACCCCAGGACTCTTTCCCTTAGAGTTTACGGCGAACACGACGATCCGAAACGTCATGTCCGGTTCCAGGTTTTCAAGGAAGAAGTACGGTTCCGTGTATGAGGTCATGTTGAAGCGAGGTCGGCCGGACTCTGAGGTATAAAACTCCAGGAGGAAATGCTGGGGGAGACCGCCGTCGAAGCCTGGGAGGCAGAACACTTCCATCGAGTTGGTGGTTTGGTTGGAAAAGGTGCAGTTCTTTACCGGGAAGGGTTTGCCTGGAAGAATTAAAAAGTTGAAATTTGAAAGCATAGTTGCTCATATTGATTAAGGCTACCCAAGGTACATGTCGTCCGCTTCTCTTTTTGCTAGTCCGGGAGCAAAATATTTTGACTCGATTTTTTTGTAAGTTTTAAAGAATCTCAATTTTGCCAGGCCCATAAATTGAGTCAAAAAGCGTTTTACTAATTTTGTAACAAATTACAAAAATAGATTTTTTTCTCTCCAGGCGATAGTTTTCGAGATACAATCGATTTAATATTTGAAAAATTGCGAAATAGACTACTTTCAACCCCGAAACACAGCACGAAAATTTTATTGTTGGCAAAGATTCTAAATCTTCTTCAAACATCCAGAAACGAAATCACAAAGCGTTTCGGGTGTACTGTTATTGTAGACCTAATTTTTAAGTGTTAAGCAAACACCCGTAATGTACGTATAATCTGCGTGAGTTCGAGAGAGATGAATCAGCGGATGTCCCTATGCTGTATCCCTCTCGCGCTCACGTGGAGTATACATTGACTGTGCGCTTGATTAACGAATAAAAAACAAAGGTTTACAATAACAATACATCATGAAATGCTTTGTAATTTTGTTAATCGATGTTTGGAGAATATATGTCAACTGAAATTGGTATGTTTCGACCGTTTTTGAAGATTTAATTATTTATATCTAGAGAACTATCAACTTTAGAGAAACCTTGTGACCATCTTCAGCACATGGCACTTTTCAAATATATGTGGCTTCATCGGCCAGGCAAACATGGATGATTATCAACATGAAAACCACAGGATAAGTTTTAGATTACATTAATCCAGTTGAGCGCAAAAATAATATCTGAGATCTATTAAAAGCATTGTCCGAACAATTTCTGACGAAGTTTTGGGCTTGGCGACATAAAGATACTTTTGATTGGGTTCTTTTTAGATGAGATTATGCAAAAAAAAATTAGAATATTTTTTCTGTACAGATCCAAAGATACTGTCTCGACTATTACTACAGTTGCTTATTTTTGATATTGTGATTAATTCACATGTCTAATACGACTACAAACGAACAATTTTATTTTTTTACAGTTTTCAGATTTTCTGTACTAAACCACTTAGGTTGTAGTTAAGGGTTCCTAAAGTGCTGCTGTCTTTTTGATGGGCAGGCAATTGTTTCTTGTTGGACATCTTGTTAATACACCGAATTAATTCTTGTTCATTAACAGAAGTTATTCCTCAAGCCTACACCCAGATACTTAACTTGAATATTGTCAGTACTCAAAAACCTTGGTTGTGGGCTTGGTTGTGGGTCTATTGTGAGTCCACCCGCTTGACTCCATATTTCAATAAAAAAAGCCATAATCGCCATCACGCAGCACTCTCGCATACACAGAAACCCTCAGAGCCAGTGAAACCGCACACGGTGTATTAATAAAGCAAATTCGTCTCGGTTTTTGTGTTTTTTGCCACGACATAATGGCATAAATATTGTCGCGTGACGGTGTTGTCCGCAAGGATGTTATCTCGCCGTTATTTGCTATTATTTCCATCCAGCCAATGGCCTCTCGCAATGGTCAACTGGGATTTGGGTCAACGTATACTGTTCCAACTCGCGGATATCAAAGTCCCAGTAGGCACAACATACTTGCAGATTCGCATTCTGAACTGTAGAATATTTCACTTTCAGAGCAAATTTTTTGTTTTAGTATCCGACCGAACTTGCGAAAGGGGTATTACGTATCTAGAAAAGTGTGGGATTATGTAGGTTTTTCTACAAGATGGCAACTTAGAACTAGCTGATGTTCACTTGTTGTGCACTCTTTCTGTAGTTGTACAGTATTACTTAAACGTCATGACGCTTCAGCTATTAATGTTTGGCTCTTTTGTAACATCTGCTTCAGAGATGGCATGAACAAAGGTCTTACCTGTAAGTTATTTACTATAGCTGGAAAGAAACGGCAGCGCATAGGTGCACAGTGAGGATTTGTGAGATGATAATTTCTTTGGTTTCTTGTCTCAGATACACTTACTTGAGATGTATACGAACCTAGAAATTAGTTGCGCGTCTAGTGTTCCTTATTCATCCTGAAAATTACCTATGCAAATTTGCTGAATTTCAAAAATGAGGGACATAAAAAAACTCTGGTTGGCTAAGTATATTACAACCAACAGGTGAGAAAATATGCTACAGACAGTAACATTTATGAAACGTGAAAATGATATTACATTTCATATTATTTTCTATTTCCAGTCATTTGAATTTTGAAATTTATTTTGTTATGTTCAGTAGAAAATACAAATCAGCGCATAGATGTGAGGCACGGCGGAAATGTTTCGTATGTGATGCGTCATTCTTACTTTTTCCGTGATGTGGCTTAATTACACATAACGGGGGTGCGGTGGTGATTTTCTGTAATTCTCCTCAAAGTTTTTGAAAACACGAAGACCGGGGAAAATCGTAATTTATAACTTTGAACATACCCTCTCCCCAGAAAGGACAACACAAATAACGCGCCTGGCACAGCTAACAGATAAACTTTATGTGCAGCATATTCAGTATTAATTTTCTCACATAGCAAATATCACTAATTTTATACACATGCAGACCAATGCATAGAATCACCACCCAATCATCCACATGCGATCTTGCTACCCTATTACTCAATCATTTTTATGTCACATCTTCTCAGAGATATACTCCACATACTATCTCGGCATTCTGCAACCAATAAAGCATGCTGGGGAACTGACTTGCAGCTGATCATTGAGTTACTCCTTCACAGATGTCGCTGTTGGTGACCCTCACAGTGAACAATAACGGAATGAACGATTTGAACAGTCGGAACTATCTAGTCAGAAGGTTGAAATGTTGTCGGTTGTTTTGACAATATATAGGTTTCAGTTTCGGTTCAAAATCCGAGTTTCGGGTTAGTTTCGGTTTTGGCAGAACATCTATCGAATGTACAACCAAAGCCGAAAATACGTTCGTATGTTTACGCGCTCTTTCAGGGGTGGTTTCATTGTTATCTTATTTATATTTTTTTCTACTGTTTTTCCTCCCTCCGCCACCTGGTAGTCATATTTCCTTCATACATTTTCCCTTAAAACTGAACTTTTGCTAGTACAATATATCACACAAAATTTGGTCTAACTCGGAAGGAGATAACTTTTTTAATTCCATCACTATCATTACCATTTTTTCAGCAAGCGACGGCTTTAATTTGCATGTTCGATTTCGTGGCGGTATATCAAAATGAGGTCCAGTCTCTGTGAGGTGACTTTTATAAGCAGTCAGAACGTAATGATTTCCATTACCAAGAATTACCTCTTTTCCATAATTTGTTTTTTGCCCATGTGTGCAAGATGTGACAACACTGACAAGCGCCACCTATAAATAATTCAGCAAAGCATAATGCATCTTTAGCCCATATGTTGGAAATGATGGAAGACCCTATGCATCTGGCTTACATTGAAAGTATTTTCAAGATTACTAGGAAAGTTGCATAAATAGACACAGGCTGAGCTAAGTCTACTTGTGTTTCATGTCTGCAACGATGGCCAACCGCATACGATATTGCTTAATGCTTGATAGCAGTCATCAATATGATATATTCCTAGTCATTGTTGACATACGACGGATAGTAATCAAGCGAAGATATAAGGTAGGTACACCGAAAAACGCAGTATTGTCATTTAAGAATAGGTGACACTGCTACCTATGAGCCAAGCACGGTTTTTCTATAAAATTTCATCTTTGAACTACCCAACTTTATAACAGCTTCGATCCTGATGAATATATGCTTGGGCAACATCAAATAAATCAAGATCTGCAGTCTATTTTTGACATATCCAGTGCTCACAATCTAAAACTGAATGCTGGCAAATCTTGTTGCATTTTATTTGGGCCCAAAAAGAATCGTGAAATAAATCAATATCGCATTAATAGGTGTATAATGAAGACATATCCTTTGTAAATGAATCCAAAAACCTTGGTATCTGGTTTGACTGCAAGTTACGCTTCACTAAACATTTTAACCAACTATGCAATGCGTCGTATAACGTGCTTCGTCAGTTATACCCGAGTCGAAGTGTCCTGCCAACACAGCTCTAGCTTAAACTCTGCGAATCATTAATCCTGCCAAAATTATCTTGCGTTGAGTCTGTTTATGGACCTGCTCTCCTACAACGTGATACCGAGCGGATTTAGATGATACAAAGCTCATACATCAGGTTATCTTATGGAATCCGTAAATTTGATCATATTAGTAGCACTTTTGACCAATCGGGATGGTTTAAGATGAAGAAATTGAGGAAACTGCATTGCCTATCTCTGGTGCATGAGACCCTTCTCCTTATAGCGCCATATTATCTTTATTCAAAGCTAACCCTCGCCTGTCATTACGATCAAAGGTCTAGGAATAAACGCATCTTCTTCATCCCGCGGCATTCGACAGCATTTTTCACACGTAGTTTCTCGTACTGGGCATCCAAACTATATAACTGCTTATCAAGTGAGTAGAAACAATATAGCCTAAGCAATTTAAAAAAAGGTTAAAGATGAGTTTAAAGCAATCGGATGGCTAGAATTTAACTTTACGCATATATAATTGATTGTTTCCTTCTTCTGAGAAGTGTAATATTTTAAGCTTTTCTCTTTTTGGTGGTTAATGTTGTGAACTGCGTCATTTAAATGTAGGCACTTTTTTTTTCTTTATAGTTTGTGTCGGGTTGAAGAACAGCATAAGCTGACACTCGACCTTTTCGTCACTATTCCTATCAAGCCAATTATTTTGTAATCATGCGACGAATAAATGCCATTTACTATTATCATTATTATTATTATTATTATTATTATTATTATTATTATTATTATTATTAACTAGCGGAACACTAGCCGCTAACTATTGCACAAATTGACATTTTACCGATTTTTTCAAATCATACAGGTTTTTTAGGTAATAACCCCGCGGTACTGCTGGTAACCATGAAACTGCGTTGTCCGTGGTTTGTACATCAAAGCT